CCCCGTCACACTCAGAGCTCCCAAATCCCCCCCAAGCTTTTTTTCCCAGTAAATAAAATTCTGAAAATGGCAGCCTGTAAGAGTGTATTAAGGAGAGAGGAAGCCCCAGTTTCCCATGCAGTGATCTACCCCTGATGTATTATGCCCATGCAGGGTATTCACACACTGGAGAATGGCTCCATCTTTGGTTTAGACCAATATCCATGCGAAGTGTGGGTCTCTAAAGCTTTCCCTGAGAGTACCAGCTCAGGCCTAGAGTTCCTCTTTAGTAGAGGCATAGCAGTCAATATTTAACTGCATGTACTGAAGAAATAATTCACTAAGGCCAGGCTTGCAGACATAATCCCAAAGTGCAGGTAGCTTTGCTGATTCATATCAGCAAACCAGTTGCAGCAGTTTTCATCTCTCCAGAAAGTGGTCTTTTGTAAATCTAATGAGTCCTTCAAGACCAAGCCATCAAAAAAAAATTTTGCATTAGAATAGGGAAAGCTCATAACAATAAATTGTTGGGGTGAATCCCTCTTCCAGCCCCTAGTGATCCTGTGGATCTCAGCTAAGCTTAAAGAGAAGAGGGAACAATGAGAGGGTTAATAAAGGATGTCATTGTTCCTTTGATCAAAAGCTCCTGGTGTTTATACCCTGCAAACCCTGCAGGGCCAGATTAAGACATCTGAGGCCCCAAGGTCTGTCACTTTAACAGGCCTCATATTATTACAGAAGGAGGAGGAGTTGTTTGAACAGAAACAGAAATTTTACTTTGTTTTAGCATTTATTTTGTTTTAGCATTTAGGAGCTCTTTACATCTGAGGCCCTTGTGTAGAAATCCAACAAGTATGGAGACTCTCGATCCAATTCTGATCTTTCTACAGATGTGAGGGATGTCAAGGATAGGCCTGGTTTGTCATGTGACATTGGGAAACAGGTCCATTGGCACAGACTCACTCTTTCTTTGTCCCTCTCTTATTGCTTATTTCTGTGGTAATTTGATCCATGCAGTCAGCAAAGGTAACACAGGAAGATCAGTCTCCGTTTTAAACCATGTGGGGGATAATTTCGTCAAGAATACTTAGCACATAGTTGTTACTGAATAAATTACATTCCTTCCTTCTTTCCTTTTTTTTTTCAAAGGCAGAAGCACTGTCCATAATCAAATAGCATCTCTTTAATTTGCCTATTAAATTATGGAATTCTGTCCCAGTTTAGATCCCATTTAGTTTTCATTTATGGAGTGATATAAGAAATAACACTCAAAATAAAGCAGAACAGAAACATTGGAGTGAGGAAGCTTTCTTTCCTAAGAAAGATGAGACAGACCAGGAGTGGGGGAACATCTGGCCCTCTATAATAACTCACCACTGGCTATGTGGGCTAGAGCTAGTGGGAGTTTCAGTCCCCAAACATCTGGAAGGCCACACTGTCCTCATCCTTGAGATGACTGATGCAAAATACCCAAAGTTCTACAGATGGTTGAATCATTTGCTTATGAACATGACATGTCACAATGGCTGACCTACAGATGTCAGAGGATTTTTTTAAAATGGTTTAATCTCATAACTGTCTTTAATTTAGCATACTACTATCAAAAAGAATGTTTTCTTTATTAGTAGTATAATTGTCCTACTTTAGTATATCATGTTCACTTTGTCATAGTTGAAATAACTTGCATTACTGAACAATTTGTTTGACAAATGATAGGTGAATTGGAATGTACTGAAATACTACAGTTGCCCTAAACTGAAAAATTTTCTGTGTGAGCTACACAGATGTGAATCACTAATGCAAGTGGAGCATAATGATCCACTAAAGAGATGCATAATCTATTGTGCAGCAGTAACAAAGATTTCTTCATACTCAGTTTCTAAAGATGAGAGTAGGAAAGATAGTACAAGAAGGTGGTCTTTTGTGTAGTCTATCTAGACCTAACTAGAATTAAATCATTCAACATATCTATGTATGGAGCATGTGACTGTAACTTATCAGGGAGTTGCTTTCAAAATTTCAAAGAACTACGTATCATGAGCACTTTTTGTTTTAAAAAAGGAGACACTTTTCTAATACATAATGTAAATAGTATACAATCAGATTAGATAGTATACAGTCAAATTAGAAAATGCACAAAGAATTACTAGCTGGTCACAACTAGTATAAAGTTATAAATCCAAGGATGCATCTGCACAATAGAAATAATGCAATATGACACCACTTTAACTGCCATGGCTCTATCCCACAGAATCTTGGGATTTGTACCTTTGTGAGGCACCAGCACTCTTTGCAGAGAAGGCTAAAGACCTTGTAAAACTACAAATCCTTGGATTCCATAGGCTGGAGCTACAGCACTTAAAGTGATGTCAAACATTATTTCTACAGTGTAGATGCATCCCAAATCTAGTTATAAGATCATGACAAGTAGAAAAAAGTAAGGTCAAATCTATGGTTTCATAGTATTTGGAAATTTGTTTTAGATGAAATATTAGTTTTGTGTGCATGTGATATTTTATCTGTTTTATTCCTGTATTAACACTGAAAGTCATGCAGTGGCTGAAGTGGTTAAGACACTGATTCTGTTGATTGCAAGATCAGCAGGTTGGCACTTCGAAGCCCAGGGGCTGCATGATGGGGTGAGCTCCTGTCACTAGTCCCAGCTTCTGCCAACCTAGCAGTTTGAAAGCATGCAAATGCAAGTTGATAAATAGGCACCACTTTGGTGGAAAGGTAAACAGCATTCTGTGCAATCATGCTGGTCATATAATCCCAGAGTTGTCTCTGACAATGCTGGCTCTTTGGCTTAGTAACAGAGATGAGCACCGTCCCCTATGGTTGGATACGACTTGGCAACCTTGTCAACGGGGAATACCTTTACCTTTTATTAACACTGGAACTATACTGTGGTACTCACAGATACACACTACATTGGAAAAAACTACTTTTTACTGTTATAGTCTTCCATATGTTCATGCCTGATGGTAGAGTTGTTCAGTATGCCTGGCCATTGGCAGTACTGACTGTTGTATCTGGGAGATGAAGTCCAAAATACACAGAGCACAAAAACTTGAGAACCACTGACATGTAATACTGCAGAGTGGGGAGATCTGAAACTACTAGTAATAATAATAATAATAGTAGATCTCTGGGTGACTTGTATTAGATCAAAAAGATTTCTAACTGTTTAATAGCACCCACAACAATGGCATCTTATTAGATAAATAAATATTGCTGAAATAAATAAAGCTTAGGGTCATAAGTAGTTTCCTGTAGAACATGACTGAAATTATCAATCAGTTATCTTACTCAAAACACATTACTGCCAGAATAATTTAATTCTAAATGTATGTCTTTTGCACTAGGCTTTGGTTATATATCACAGGGCTCTAGAAAAACACATGCACCACACATACAAAAAAGTCAATCCAACAAGCCTTGGTTTGCCCAGTCCCTAGTATAAGACATGCACATGAAGTCAGCTCAGTGCTCAAATTCCATTGGGACGGATTAAAGAGACCCAAATCTCTTATCTTATTTGACATACCCTTTAGCTGTGTTTTGAACTGGTCATTGGCAAAAACTGGAAATTTGGAATGAGAATTCTCCTCATAATTCAAATACTGAGTCTGGCTGCCTGTTAGAAACCATTCCAATGCATTCAGTGCACTTGGACTGTAAGGATCCCTTCCTTTGATACTGGCTTGTGTACTCTTTCTTTGCTTCCACTTCTAGCTGATTCCTATGCTGCTAACCTTAGAAGGCAGGGAAGATAAATAGTGTAGCTTCTAGACAAATTCACTTTGATCTCCTTTCACACAGTTTTCTAGAATTCATGAATGGGCAACCACAGGAAAAATAAAATACCAATTTTGTTTTTGGAGCAGTTAGTTACTGTGGGGTAATTTAAGTTTCCTAAGGCTTCAGCCCTTGCCAAGGAAACAAAATTATTTAAATATCAAAAATATCAAAGCCAAGCCTGTTAGGGTCTAGCTTTAAATCAGCACAGTAGCAGAAGTTTGCTTTTGTCTAACTATGCTTCCCTAAGAACTGAGACTGTCTCAAAAGCAACAAACACATAGCTTGTAGTTTAAAACAAAAGTTTACTAATGGCTTTGATCTATATTTACACAGAAGGTATATCCTAATCTAGCTAGTGAATAGTTCAGGTAAAAGAAATACTTATCTTACCATCTTTCCAAAGTAAGTTGAGAGAGCAGGGAGATAAAAACACAACAGCTCAGTTGAAAATCTTTGAGAGAATGTCAATTAATCCCAAAAGGGGAGTGACCTAAATAGTTTGAATGAGATAGAGAGGAGAGTTTGCATGC